CAGTTAACCTAAAATGTGGCGTATAAATTAGTTTTTTCATAGCAGATACGTGAAGTTGTCAGGTTTGTTTATCAAATGGCTGCATAGAGACAAAAATTATTTCTTAATGTTAGAGATAACACCCTTGCATTATTATAAGGGGCTAGTTTCTGCATATTTTGCAACACAGGTTTAAATATACACACAAGTGAGCAGAGAACATCAAATTGCATTAAAATAAACACTGAAGGGGTTTTATACTATATATAATTAGTTTTTTTGGTTGTTTACACAAATCATTGTCCATCATTGAAACCAACAGAAGGAAAATGAATTATCTCCCAAATCCTGAGATTGACTAATAAAACATTCAGATTAAAAGGATAGAAAAAAAAAAGAATCACAAATTCACGTAAACCATCAACCTTACATACAGTTTCTTTTAAATCTGAATCTAGTGACCTGTTAATCAAAAACAGAGGGCTTTTTAGCTACTTCAGTCTGGGCATGTCTCAGTGGGAGCTTCTTCCATTAGTGGGCAGCGTGATGGATTAAAACCATTTCACTATGATTGATTTGAACTCACCACTAATGGACCAGTTCTTGCAGATCTGAGAGAGCTTCCAGGCTCAGACTCAGAAAACACAGAGAAATTGAGAGACTTGTGCAAGAAAGGCCATAAATTTAAGATTAATTGATGTATTCTGTCTATTCTGTGTTTGTCACAATTCCAGCAACAGTCTTGTGAGTGTTTTGCAAAAGTCTGATGACCATACTGAAGCATCAGTGAGCCTTTCCAGGTAGTTCTAGGTGTTTTTCAGATGCCAAAATGATGATGACTATTCACATGGTGTTTTTGGGGTTGAATGTTTCTCCTTTCTTTCACCAATCCAAAGCCACATCCTTGGACCAGACAACTCCATGCTCATGTCATCCCACCACAGAGCTGATGACCATAAGCTTTTTTTTGTTTGTTTGTTTTTTTGGTCAGCTTGTGCACAGGCTGCTGTTTTTGAGAACTACAGTCATCTTTGGTGTGTGTCCCTGGAGACCAGGCTTGTTTAGTGTCCACTGGAGAGTCTGATTGAGATGTTGATACCAGAGTTGCTCAGATTCCTCACAATGACCTCGGTGGTGATCCTTGGATTCTTCTTGGCCTCTAGCGCTACTATTCTTGGCAGTGCAGGGGTCACTTGTGGTTTCCTGCTACGCCCTTTGAGATTTTTCATCGTGTGGAACTTCTTGTACTTTTTGTTGATGCTTTGCTCTGTGGCCACTGGCACTTGAAAATACTTGGATAAGGTCTTGTAGCCTTAGAATGGCCACAACGCACCACTCTGTCTCACTGATGGACCCTAATTGTGAGCTGACCGAGCTCTTTGGTTTTGGCCGATTGACCAGTAAGTGAGAACTACTGACAACTACTGCATCGGCTGAAGTGTATCAGAACGCTGTAGAACATGGTATAAATAACTTGGAACTGGTGTAGAAGCTGTATTTTCTCAATGCCTGGTGACATTTTGAAGGGTAGGGATAATTTTGCAATATAATAGGAAATATTTCATTTTCAATATGCCCTATTTAGTCATCATGTGTGATAGAATTACTGCCAGCATTGAGTTTCAGTCATGTGTCGACTGAAACTCAGTCATACTCATAACTCATATCTAATGCATTTGTGCTTTTAAGACACTTGTGTGATTCAGTTTTTTCTGAGCAAAATCTGGCAATCTCATCTTAAAAGAAACAGAAATAGTCGAAAAATACATCACTAGCATCTCTACACAATATCTTACAATTGTTTGTGACTTCTTTATGTGATTTGCATCCAGAATGAAACTACTGGTCTAATAAACTGGAGAGCCCTCAGGAGTGTGATATAGGTGCCCCCACTAGCCGAGATTGCACTGAGCTCCAGTAAACCAATTATTCCGTCCAACTTACCACAACATAGATGTTTTCTTTCATTCGTTATGGTTGGCTGGTTGTCCAAGGTGAAATGGGTACTATACATCCATCCATCCATTATCTATACACCACTTAATCCTCACTAGGGTCATGGGGGGCTGGAGTCTATCCCAGCTGACTTTGGGCGAAGGCAGGTTCACCTGGACAGGTCACCAGTCTATCACAGGGCTACACTTAGAGACAGACAACCAAGCACACTCACATTCACACCTATGGACAATTTAGAATCACCGATCAACCTCAACATGTTTTTGGACTGTGTGGGAGGAAGCCGGAGAACCTGGAGAGAACCCACACTGCACGAGGAGAACATGGAGACTCCACGCAGAAAGATTCCGGTGCCCCCGGTACTATACATAAATACAAAAATATCATGGCAATATGTGATCCATCTGCACGAAATCAGTCGCATTGCACCTGACGGTGTTTGACAGTGATTTGTAATATCATATGTTACCTACATGTAGAAAACCACTAAATGGACCGATCTAAGCAATGATAAATAAACCCCAAATCAATATTTTGTCAGGTGTTAATGAATTCGGGCTGTATCTTGGCTATAGCCCAAGGCACAATGTGACTGATTTCATGCAGGTGGGTCACATATCAACATTTTTTGACTTTGAGTTTGACTTTGAAATATCACCCAAGGTCAAATGTCACATCCCCAGTGAGAAGCCTTTATATCAGGGATCTCCAGCTCCAGTCCTGGTGAGCTACTGTCCTGCAGGGTTTAGATCAGGAGTGTCCAATCCTGGTCCTCGAGGGCCGCAAACCTGCATGTTTTAGATGCTTCCTTCTTCCAACACACCTGATTCAAATGATCAGGATCGTCATCAGGCTTCTGCAGCGCTTGATGATGAGCTGATCATTTGAATCAGGTGTGTTGGAAGAAGGAAGCATCTAAAACATGCAGGATTGTGGCCCTCAAGGACCAGGATTGGACACCCCTGGTTTAGATGTTTCCGTTCTGCAACACACCTGACTCAAATTAACTTTTTTTTTTTCTTTTTTAAATTATTATTTTCAACCACAATTCAAAAGCAATGTCTTACTTCACCAAATTGTAATTTAGCCATTTTTTATTTATTATTATTTTTGTTCAGTTTCTAGTTATTTGAGTGACTTTTGTGAATTTTGCCTTTTCTTTAATGAATACATTTGAGGACGACTGTATGTATTTAAGGAAAAAGACCAGCCTGTGTCCTGAAGGGGGCAGTAGAGCAACACCTCAGTCCCACGCTGCGGTGACATATCCACAGGGGGGCGCTGTTGTCTCCTCCTCCTCCGTCAGTCTGCTGCAGGTCACAGAACAAGTATGGCGGCCGCCAGTGTGTTCAGACCTGGGCTGTTCAACCACAAAGTGGCGATAGTAACCGGAGGAGGCACCGGCATCGGTAAAGCCATTTCTGCAGAGCTGCTGGCGCTGGGTGAGTGGATCCACGGACACGCAGGAGCGACGGTTTGTTGGGGCGCAGAGGAGACAAGCTGCTGACTGACAGCAAGCTGCCTGGTGAACTTAGACACAGATACAAGCCTGCAGCTGGACAGTGAAGGCCTCGAAACTTTGAAACTTTATGGAACTGTGGAGACACACGGTTTGATGACAGACAAGATGTGTGATGTTGTAAATGCTGCTTTAGAACGAGCTGCAGTGAAACACACTTTATCACTGGGAGCAGTGTGATACAGTCCTGATGTATCATAATAATGTCTCATCACCACACAATTACATGTTTATCACCTTGATCCAAGCAATATATTCTGTTACTGGAGAGCCTTTCCTGATGTTAGTTCCTTTTGAGCTGCTGTTTATTCCTTTCCATAATGTGTATACCTTTACCAACACTGTGTGGCTTCACACACACAACACTGTTTTTATCTGTCTTAAATTCTGATGATTTTGTAAGTTTGAATTTAAGAGGTTCTCTATAACCTACTACTATTACTGCTTTTATTATTATTTTTCTAATTGTTGTTCTTATTGCTGCTTCTGTTGCTCACAAAAAATTTGCATTTCAGTGCGTCTCTTCTGGAGCATCACGGTTTTGTCTTGCTTGTGTCTTCAGGCTGTAATGTGGTGATCTCCAGCAGGAAGGCAGAAAGGCTGGAGGCAGCAGCTCAGGAGATGAGACAGAAAATCCCTCCAACCAGTCGCGCAAGCATCACTCCTCTGACGTGTAACATCCGCAGCGAGGACGAGGTGAGCGGAGAGCTGTGAAATATAGTTTATTGTGATAGAATAGTTTATATTTTACTTGATATCGATAGATGAAAGCGAAAGTATCCACAATCATGTCCAGGTAATAATGTTAGCATTTGCACAACAATGAAAAACGTATTAATTAGAAAACAGTTTAAATAACAATATTGCACAGACGTGGTGTAATCTTTAGTGATTTAGTGACTGATTGTTCATGAGGGATGTGGCCTGAGAGAAAAAGCTGCTCCGGTGCCGCGATGTTCGGGTGATTAGAGGGACTAATGGAGTTCTGTTATCAAGGGATGTGATGGTCTGTTTATGAGGCAGGGAGGGAGGGAGCTTCAGGTTTGTTCATGCAACTGAACTTTGCATTTAGATGAAACTATCAAAGAGCTTTATTATCGCGATTAAGTGTCTAAGTGTCATTTTATCATCCAGGCCTTCGGTGAGGACACCTTTGAACTCTGGATTGGCTCTGTGTCGATGCTCTCAGTGTGTAATTTCAACATGCCTTCTTCTTTGATTCCCTGTGCGGCAGGTGAAAGCTCTTGTGTCCACGGTGCTGAAGCAGTACGGCCGCATTGACTTTCTGGTGAACAATGGAGGAGGTCAGTTCAGCAGCCCGGCAGAGCACATGTCCTCCAAAGGCTGGAAGGCCGTCATCGACACCAACCTGACTGGAACCTTCCACTGCTGCAAGGAGGGTGAGCTTGCTGCATTCACTCGACACTGACTTAATGTGTGTGTGTGTGTGTGTGTGTTTAGTGTGACCGACTCTTTTCTCTCCATACAGTCTACACTGCATGGATGAAGCAGCACGGAGGTGTGATCGTCAACATCATCGCTGACATGTGGAAAGGCTTCCCAGGCATGGCGTAAGAACCGCCTCCATCCACCCAGAAATCTGCACACTTTTTAAAATTTTTTGCTGCAACACAAAGTCTCCTCTCTCCAACAGCCACACGGGAGCAGCAAGGGCAGCGGTGGACAACCTAACCAAGAGCCTCGCCATCGAGTGGGCGGCTTCAGGAGTCCGAGTCAATGCCGTTGCACCTGTATGTGCAGCTCATGAGTCGATTTGTTCTGGAGATGTTTGATTAGGTATTAATTTGACTTTGGTGTGTCTGTTTTCTTTGCAGGGTACAATCTATTCCAAAACTGCCATGGAGAATTATAAGGAATTAGGACCACATATTTTCAAGATGTCTGTTGGCTTTAGTCCTGCAAAGAGGCTGGGAGTGCCAGAAGAGGTGAGCATCTACGTAGTGAACAGACACAAGGGCAGATTTGTTGTATCTTAAAAGAGTTTTGTCAGTATTTTGCAGTATTCATGGAAGTTATATGTACAGTTGTCCTCAGATTTATTCATACCCTCCTATTAAAGAAGGAAAAAAACAGCTGTCACTGGAATAAGTTGAAACTTACAAAGTAATAATAAATTAAAATTTAATGAAAATCATGACATTGCTTTTGAATTGTGGTTCAACAGAAATATTGAAAAAAAAAAAAAAAAAGGCAAACAATCATGATGGGACCCGTAAACTAATATTTAGCTGAACAACCCTTTGAGCCAATCACTGCAGTCAAGTGTTTTCTGTAACTCATTTTGAGGTGAAGTCAACATCTTGAACTCTTTGTCATGTTCTTTAGAAATATTCCTGAACAATGTTGACAGTGTGGCAGGCAGCCCCTGCCTTCACCCTGAGTCAGCTGGGATAGACTCCAGCCCCCCATGACCTTGTGAGGATTAAGAAGTGTATAGATGATGGATGTGTGGATAGATCAGACTGACTTTTTACCTTTTGTTTGTTGTGTTTCTTTGTTCAGATTTCACCAGTCGTGTGTTTCCTGCTCTCTCCTGCTGCCTCCTACATCTCTGGAGCCACACTGAGAGTGGATGCTGGACAAAGCCTGTACCATTCCTTTTGGGAGATACCTGGTGTGCACCTTCCTGTCACAGCAGCACTTTACAGTATGTATTATGTACTGTACATTATACTAAATCCTGTGTGTTCTGTTTGTTTGTGTCCAGAACACAGTGCGTGGCCTGACGCTCCAGAGGGGGAGAACCTGGAAGCTCTGAAGGAACTGCTCAACCCTAAAAGCAAACTTTAACGAACCTTTCTGATGGCCAAAGGGCAGAAAAACACGTGGCCAACAAGAAACATGGACACTGAGCTGCACAAACACCCCAAGCCCCATCACTGCTGTGTGTGATTTATTAAGAAAATTGTGTACATAATTGTAGATAATTATTAGTAACATAGTTGTGTAATTTTATGACTGATGATTTGTGACATAACTGTTGAAATGTACATAAAAATTTTCTTCCAGTGCCTTTGTTAGAAAGTAAAGACAGTTCTTTGTAATGTAACAACGATATGTGATTTTGATTGACATAAAAGATGTAGAAGCAACTGAAAAAACACAATAAATTAAATAATTTCACAGATTTGCGGTCACTGAGGCTGTTTCATGAAGCCAGATCCCCTTCCCTTGAGTCTAGCTTTGACTGCCCTGCTTTAGTAATGAGAGGGAACCGCACAGCCACACTATTTTAAAATTAAAAAACAACTTTTTTCTGTCTCTTTTTTTAAAGTAGCAGCTGATCATGTCATTCTGTTTAATGTTTGTGACACAGATGCCAATCAAAGTTTAAAAAAATTAAATAAAAACGTACTATCCTTTTTTTTTTTTTCCACAGATGCTTTACACTGACGTTATATGGAAATTGTCCATTTTAGCTCCTTATGGTGACATGTTACATCACGAATATTGTGACATACCAGAAAATGTACATAACTTTATCCTTTCATTTTTAATGCCAAAGGATTACACAGTTCTTTATTAAAAGGTTTTGATTACAACTTGCATTTTTTGTCATTAATTGAAAATATGTGGATGCAAAAATTCCTTAAATATTATCCTCATTTGAACCAAGTTTAGTCATCAGAGAGAAGTACTTTGGGTAGAGTTGTGGATTAAAAACAATAATTCTACACGAATCATATGTAATTTATTTGTAAATGCCGAAACAACGTTTTCCTTAAAGTTTACACAAACGAACAAACTGTTATTACAACATCAGTTAAACGCAGAGATGTTCGTGTAGATTTGGTCTTAGGTTGGCGCTCCAAAGTAAAAAATCAAAACGCCTTCTCCTTGAAAAAGACGCTCCGGTATTTTGGCCCTAAAGTGTTGCCGTAGTGTTGCCGTAAACCAGCGTTAACTGCCGCAGCACTTAAAAACAACAGCAGAGGTCATAGCAAACCTTTCAGGTACAGTGGTTTTTATTTGTAATATCCTACATTTCTCTGTCACTTGTTGTGGTACTATTACAGAATGTTATAAAGCAAAATTTGCACACGGTAAGGTGCGACAAAAATTGAATCGTAGTACAAATTTTACAGTTTTATTTAGCTAGCGTTAGCATCGCTGGCTAACGCCATGCTAGCAGAGAGAACATCGTCTGCCTTCATCGATGTGTTTAATCTACACTTGACTCAGTCAGCACCCTTTTCACCCCAATGGTTCGATGATAAATTGATCGATGATCATACGGATTGGATTAATGTCATTAGTCATAACGTAGATTACACGAGTTTAATTTGTATGTTTGTCTTATCACAACGCAGCTTCAGCTTTAAATTGACATTACAGCGACAGATTAATTAAGAAGACATCCAGAAACACAAGTATGGTTCGCATGGATTGGCCAAACGGTGTCCAAACAGAAGTTGACATTACACTTTATAGTTGTAAATGTGTTGAAAACAACATTATTGTCACGACATTTCAGCGTGATTGTACGATGTTTTCAACTTTGCTAAACAAGTCCACAGAACGTGTGTAACGGCTGTTTTAATTTGCGATATCATTTAGTGTTTTAATTTTAAAAGTGACACCCAATATTTGTACCAATTTCTACAAAACTACAGTGAAGTAGCCAACGCGTTAGTGCATGTACTTATGACTGTAGATTCTCAGTCAGGCAGGTCATGGTCATCCTAAATGCTTCAGCTGAAGGCAAAGTGGACTTTTTCCAGTCCTCAGTTAGAGCTGAAAAAGTCACATGGATGAGAGGTGACACTTCTTCAAGAATCATAAAAGAGAGCTAAGTTTCCTTCTCCTGAAGCACTGAGGATTGTGTGCACCTACACTTACAATATAATAATAACAAACTTTATTTATAGAGCACTTTTCAAAACAAATGTTACAAAGTGCTTTTCAATAAAAAATTAATTAAAAATTAAAATACAATAAGCACACAGAATAATTGATAAAAGTAGAAAGCACACAAATAAAGCAGGAAGCTATAAAACATGAAACTTAAATAAAATCAGGAAACGCTCTCCAATAAAAATGTGTTTTAAGAAGTGACTTGAAAGAGAGCACAGAATTAGCTGGCCTGATTTCCTTGGCTAATAATAAATTAATGGACACTTCAATATGTCTCAAAAACATTCCCTCCTGTACATGTGAAACATGTTTGATTTAGTAATTAGATATGAATTTTAAGTAGTGACAATTCTACAGTACTCCAAACTATTAGTATTGTTGAGTCTTGTTCTGTTTACAAAGGGGAAAAAAAGGCATGTAAAAGTCTGTCCTTTCAAATAAATGCGTGCAGAAAGGTCAACATTTCAGTTGTAGATATTTTTGAGTTACTTTGTGTGTTTGTCACTCTTGTGCACTTGTAATGTTAAAACAACATAATTGTAATAAGGTCAGAAAAACTTTAGTTTGTACCATATATAGGGATGCAGGACATTATATGATTTGCAAATTCTAAATAAACAGTCTTAGAACCTTTTCCATCTTCTTTTTCACTAAGCACCAAAATTTCTTTCGGGAAAAAATATTGTGTGTTTCTATCTCTACAAGTAGGGCTTTATTAAATCAATCAAGTCTATGTCATTCTAGGCAGTCCTCTCATGTAATCATCATCCTGTTATATGATAGGGGTCCAATCATTATCAGCCTGGCCGATATTCAGGGCTAATATTCAGCATTATTTCATTTCAAGGTGTCGGTATGATTTGTTTTTTTTTTTAACTGGATTTTTAAAAAAAATAAACAACAAAAAACAAGCTGCCACATCTTTCTATCCATAGTTGTCAGTCATCTGTGGTCTCCAGCAATCTCCTGCCCACATCACTATCTGTTCATGACATGTCACAAGTAGCAGCCCGTTACCACTGAAGGATACATGTTGAAATGTGAGACCATTTTAGTTACACATAAACAAAGGCATTTCAACAAAACGTTATGTTGAAGTTTATTTTATTCAAAATTTTCACACCAAGATTGTCAATTTTACTGCAAATGTATATCAGTTCCAAATATCAGCTGTTGGTCCCTCTTCGATAGTGACTGAAAAAGCTGTAATATTTGGGCCTTTTCTATACAGATTATTACATTTATGTTACAAAAATAGGCTTCAGCTTTATTAAAAATGACATTTATTGGAACAGGAGATATACAAACCATATGTGTTGTAAGAAAAAATACTTCCTTTGTTCCAATTTTCAAATTCAGGCTTCAGTTCAATATTCACAATGTCATAGTTTGTAAACATGAGACACCATCAAGAGGTGACCGTCACACCTGGAGGACAGCATCTATTTGTAAAACCATTGACATGACAGTTTAATCACAGCATCAGATGTCCTGCAAAACGTATTTTCTAACTTGCAACATTTGCCGTTTGCTAGTAGCAGCGTCAATCAATTAATTGCTCAGCTCTAATGGAAATGCATCGCTTGTTTCTGTTTTTAACAGCAGATGTATCTCAGTTTGTAAAACACAGGTCATTTCATAAGCAACCCTAACTCTAAGCTGTATTGGTCTGCTAGTAAGCATTAAACTTTAAACACCACTGCTCATATGCTTCTATCTGTGTTTGTGTTCAGTATGGGAGGTGACCACCCCGACAAGTTCACCCTGCCAGACTGGCGACAATGGAAGGTGGAGGGAACACCGATGGAGTTCACGCAGAAGAGGCTGGCAGCCAGAGGACTCAAGGACCCATGGGCACGGTCAGTATTTGTACCTATGTGTGAAATGTTTGTATCTAAAACGATTCCTGACACTTGTCTTTCTGTCCTGTCACTCTCAATCTCTCTCTGCAGCAATGAGGTTTGGAGATATTCCTTCTTTCCTCAACCTCCGAAAATGATGGATGTTGCGCGGAGAGGATTCAAGTGGGGCTTCGGAGCTTTTGTTGTTGCTCTGGCTATAGAGTACACCTTTTTCCCCCCGACGAACGATGGCCACTGATCATCCCTCAAGCCCATACCTAATGGAGTCTAATTATATTCTGTATTTTCTGTTTATTAAATGTCTATGTGATCACCACATGATTCCTCTTCAGCCTGTTTTATACTACAACTAATTCCACACATTTTAAATCAAATTTTTGCGGATAACGACATTATTTCTATTTTTCCCTTAAACAGATGAGGATGCACAAATCGTCATCTTTAGATCTTGTTACTCCTGCTTTCTCTTCCCAGTCACTTTCCGGAAGCATAGTTTTATACATTTTACTGTCAGCATTACACAAACCAGCACCACAGTAACTAACAGTGCGACTACATCCAGGCAGTAGTACTGGATAAAGTTGAGGTCGTGGACGGCAGCTTTGAGATGTTTTGCACCTTTGTGTTTCATCACAAACTCGGTCCAGTACACCGACAGTTCCAGTGGGTCGAGTGGCCGATCTTTATGAAGATCTGACAGCTTCTGCACATTCTCTTTGTACCTGGACACACACAGATGGAGGGGAAGGGTTGAAGAATACAACACTGATTTGGAGTAGATGGTATAAAATTAAAAAAAAAAAAAAAAAAAAAGCAGATTCTGAAACAAAAGGTCACACAAGGGACACAGCTTTCTGACCTGACATCATAAAGGACGTCGTTCAGTTTCTGGAGAAGGCTTTCAACTGTGAGGGTGGTAATATCCAAAACAACTCCTGCGTCTCTGCTCGCCATCCTTTGTGCGTTGTCAGGCTGGTCTCCGGCAATCGGCACCATTATCATGGGAATACCGTGACACAGTCCCTCGAACAGACCGTGTGAACCGGCGTGAGTGATGAAAGCTCGAGCTCCCGGATGCGCTAACATACAAAACAATCACCAATATCGGATGTCATGATTATATGTCACAGTTTTGACTAACGTGCTTCACATTTAAGAGTATGTTGCAGTGGACTCACAGACCTAGGAGGTCGTTCTGAGGCACCCATTTCATCAGCTTCACGTTTTCTGGTACGTTACCAGAAATCTTCCCAGTGTATCTCCATATCACCTGTCAAAGTGAAAGATATCAAAGGTACCATATGTGTATATAATATAGCAGCACGCAGCTATTTGTCATATGAAGAGGAAGTGTAATGGTATCCTTAACAGAAAGTGAAGTCACACTCCCCCTGTGTGTGCGCTGTCATGCCAGTTTCTTTGTTCTATATATGAACAGTTGGTCCATGTGTGGAGCATGTTAGCCCCACCCATTGAAACCGTTGAGCCTTTCTGCATTTACAAACAGACTGACAGTGACTTTCCACACATCAGAAGCAAGAGTACAGTCTGGACCATTCAGCTGGAGCCCTACAAACCTCAGAATTTGGAAACAAAAAATGTAAACGTGTCATTTTCCAAATGTATGTGCATTCATCTCAGCTGAGTGTGAGAGTGTCTGCAGCTGTTCAGGCTCTCCTCTGCTACCTTCTCCACTCGTATCTGCTCCACTCTGTCTTTGAGTGGGTGTTTCCTCACATGGGTCAGCTCCGATCAATCCGCGAGTGGGCCTGAGGGGTGTACTACAAAATCAGGGTAGTAGCAGGTTGGTAGTATGTTGAGCTAAAATTCAGAGTTTTCGGTGTCACTAATGTGGTAACTTATTCTGCAGTAAGTCATGTTGAGAATCGATCTTCCTTTCACCAGTGCTTTTCCTGATGATTCTTTATAAGTGATACAGATTCTCAGCTGTGGAATATGTTGTATCTGCTGTACGGTACCACAGGAACCTAAATGTAGTCGGTAAATTTACAAATGTTTTTATGTTTGGTCCTGATTTGCTGCCAAGTCTGTTTTACACAGCTAGCATTGCAGCTTATAGAACACACACTGAAAAAAAAAAAATAGAAAAATGCTTCATTATGGGACAGCGTCAGACCTGAATGCACTTCTTGAGCATCATGTTTCAAAAAAAATAAAGTTTAAGAGCTGCAGTTTGCAGCTCTCATGTTTGATATAAGCAGCTGAAGTTACTGAGCGGTAAAAGAATTGTATTAACTTGCATGATTAGCAGTTCTCTACCAGCATTCCTGTCCTGCATCATTTCCAGGAGCAGCACTTTTATCCAGAATATTTTGTTGATTTTCTTCATAGCTCTCAATTCTAACAACCTGTTGACTGAAGTAGATGCACGCCATCAGTCCATTTTGTGTGGAAGAAGAGTCGCATGACGCGTTAAACACCCCTTTTAAAATAAATTTGCAAGAGTCTGAAGAGAAAAACTGAAGTTGAAAAAGGAAGTTGATAAGCACCATTGTGACACCTGTTATCGCTGACTGGGGTTTTATGTTTTGTCGAGATGTTTTACACAAGAAAGGCTGATTATGTCAAAGTTTCTTTGTGGTGCAGCCCTCTGGTCCATCGACTGTATGTAAAAACAGACATACGAGGAGCAGAACGGACACAAGTGGTGCAAAGGAGAGACAGGTAAAGTGAAGGTATCATTACTCAAGTTAACAACTAATTACCGGCATTCAGTGTATTTTACAGTGTTAGATGGCCAAATGGTTGCGGTTGGATTATTTTTGTATGTGCAAAACCCCACAGCTTGCAAATGAAACATGACGGGAGGAGGAAGATGTGGCCATGTGTACTGTCCTGAGCTGTTGGTGCTGAAGAAACATCCACTGGTCCTTTAAAGTTTTGATTGTTGCATTGATTTATGATCCTACATTGTCTTGTACCTTTTGTGGAATCTGTCTGAAGGCCTCCAGGAAGACAGCGGTGATCTTTTCTGGCAGCTCTGACACCATGGAACCAAGAGTGAACACTATGAACCCATGTTCTCCCGACACCCAGGACTCCAAATCCTGCAAAAAACATCCACATGCATGGGGACTTTCTTTTCATTACTCCTTCTCTATTCATCTCACCATCTTCCTGCTTTACAATAAGTGTCGCTGTGGTGCTTTTTAAGTGTAACTGGAATGTGAAGTACACAGATCTTACTTTAGGCAGAGGATTTTTCACGTTGCAGTTGATCCCGCCAACTAGTACCATGTTAGGCATGAGAGGGCGCGGGAACTCCAGTGTGAAGTCAATCCTGTGCAAACACAACAAGATTATTTTTCTTTCGGTGTGATCTGGAAAGCTATTTGTACAATAGTATTGTTTGACTTTATGCTTCTACACATGTTTATTCTTCTGTGTAACCTTTATACACGTTACCTCATCAGCCATATATCAGAGTCTGACAGCACTTCGGCAATGCCCACCTCCTCTCCCAGGAACTTATGGGCTATGTGGTCAAAGTGCCCGTACACTAGTCGGCAAAGGAGGGGCTCAAATAAAGCCACCTGTAGGTGAGAGGCATCAGAGCGCAATAAACAACCAGGATGTAGCACTGAAATTCAAATCATAAAGCTGAGGTGCAAGTGCAGTGATGCAGTCCAGGTCAAACTACATGATTTAGAACATACAGTGAAGTGGTGAAGCATTTGATAGATTCTGACTGACTGAACAATGACTTAGGTGAGTTTCAGAACGGTTTGTTTTAGGTGTGACCTAAGTAGTGTGTAACAGATGAATGACCATTATCAGAAGTTGAAGCACCTCCCCGACTTGTAACTTTTGCACAGCATAACCTATCGTCCTACTAAACACACCCAGGAGGTTTTATAACCCTGTTTATCCCTCTAAACCACCGCAAGGAACAAAGACAACACTGTACTTGTTTGATATTTGATGATTGTCTTATGGTTGTTATGGATGTCTTTTATTTGTGCTGCATTTCTATGCTTAAATACCTGGAAGAAAATGGAAATGCCAAGATAGTGCACAGATGCATGAAAATTCTAGTAAAACATTTTGTCTATATACAAATCCAGATTGGAACCAAAGACTTAATATGTACCTTATGCAGATTTTTCTGTTCTCTTTTGTGTTTACTTCTATTTTTAGCTTATTATATGGTCAGATTGTATTTTTTTTAGCCTATTATATGTTTGGATTGTGTATTTTTTAGCCTATTGTGTGTTTGACATGACTTCAAGCACTGTCAGCCTATTTACTTAATCCATTAAACAATATGTGCAGAAAGAAAGCATCTCTCCATTTGAATATCATCACCAGCAACAAATGAATTTGCTGGAACAACTTTGTGAATCCACTGTTTAAATGTGCACCTAAGCGTTTTTTTTTGATCCACCATCATCACATTCACAGTAATTTTTTTGTTTTGTTTTGTTTTGTTTGCCATAAATATGGAAAGCATGAAGTAAAGAGATCTGAATACCAGAATCTGCATTAGTTTGCAAAATAAAATGGTCACCTAGGAAACACCATTTGTCATTTGAAAGAATAAAAACGAAACTGGATTAGCAGGTCTTTTTATACATGAGCTTGTTCCTGCATGTCTGGCTCAGAGCACTAACCAAAGTGTTGATAACTCTCTCCTTGAAGGTCATTCTGTCTGTGAATCCAGTGAAAAAGCGAGGCACATACGACGGTGGGGATGGGCAGCCTGCAGCCTTCATATCCAAGGAACAGGGAATGCCCCTCAGCATGTTGATGGTGGGGAGACCTGAAAGTGTTTTAGCAACAACTGATGAGAAAATGCACATGAGCACACAGGAGATCCAAATGTGGGTGAACTCACCTAATTTCCGAGCTATGAGTGAGCCTGTCGGCACCATGGGGTCTGTCAGAACGGCATCAAAGTTCTACAAAGTGAAAGAGTGAGAAGGTGAAGAGCAAACATACGAGTGAGTGGCAAATCTTCAAGCAGTAAAGTTACTTATACATTCAAACGTGACACACAGAGGAAGAGAAACCAACCAGATAAAGACAGTTTACCTCTTTTCTCCTGCAATCACTTTTTCACCCTACATTAGTGTGGGAAGGTAACTTAAGTGCATACTCAGGAACTGCACAGTTTTGAGGCATATCTGGTTTAATTTAAAGAGTTTCATTTGAGAATCTGACACGCATAGAGGTCTATTTAACCAACATTTCATACAAAAGCCAAATTTTTGTTGCAGAATTGAACTTCCTTCTTTCCCACTTACCCTACATTTACCCCCAGACACAGTGGAAGGGCCTGACCTCGACACTGAGAGCCACTAATTTAAAGTGAGGTGAATAACACGGATCATCTCATTACAATGCAATGTTTTTCTGGGAAACCTTAGATTCCATTATTTTGACATGTTCAATCCACCTAAACACTGTTGCACTGTTTTATGTTGTGGCTATTCAGTGTATAGCGTATTTACAACTTCTGTTAAACATGTAGTTTTTCTTTTGGTGCTTCATTTGATACTATCCATCCATCCATTTATTATCTACACACCGCTTAAGCCTCACTAGAGTCACGGGGGGCTGGAGTCTATCCCAGCTGATTCAGGGTGAAGGCAGGGGACACCTGGACAGGTAACCAGTCTATCACAGGGCTACACTTGGAGACAGACAACCAAGCACACTCACATTCACACCTACGGACAATTTAGAATCACCAATTAACCTCAACATGTTTTTAGACTGTAGGAGGAAGCCGGAGAACACGGAGAGAACCCACGCTGCACAGGGAGAACATGGAGACTCCACTCTGGATGCTCTCACCGGGACGCAAAGTGGCGACCTTCTTGCTGCGAGGCAACGATGCTAACCACCGAGCCACCTTGCAGCCCTGGCTATTCAGTGTGTAGCGTGTTTACAACTTGCTCCAAGTCAGCCTTCTACAACAGTAAAGTGATATCTACACAATGATGCATCAGTTTAAGCAATATAAAAACACTGTGTATTATAATATCACTATAAAACGACATTTTTCTGTTAAACATGAAATTTTTCTTTTGGTAATTCAGCTGATGCCACTTTTACTTTCATAAGATTGTTTTTGCAGGACTTTTCCTTGCAATGGCATGTTTCTGTGGTATTGCCACTTTCACCTTAAGTAAAGGATGCACATACTTCTTCTACTATTGTTCAAACTTGAATAGATAAATTATACTGTAAGCACTTTGTAATATAATGCAGTCTAATGCAGCATCATCCCTAAACATTAAGCAAGTCACCACCTCTGTGACACTTTCTTAAAAGGACTTGGAAATGTAATGTGAAAGCTTGAAATGCGACACGGTCACATTTTAAAGCCGATCCAGCCTCTGTTTTTTTTACTCACCTGCTGTGCCAGATGTGTGATGATACTGTCATTGAACAGCAAGCTCTCTGCAGTGGTGTGAATGATGTCATGAATGGCCTGAAACTGTGAGATTCGTGCCTGCACCTTCTCCAGGAAAGACTGTGTAGATTTTTCCAGTACGTCCTTGTTTGTGGACAGCACACTGTCCATATGAGCGTAATCATAAGGAACAGGATGGGTCACAGTGTCGTAGTGCTTCCCCGGGCCCATCCGCATGGAGATCTCCGGTATCACCACGGTGACCCGGTGTCCACGGCGACCCATTTCTTGGGCAATGGCTTTTACACCTACCCAGTGACTCCCATCCATCGGCACCACCAGCAGGTTACCTTTATAAGCTGGAGAACTGGTTTTGCTTGCAGGAATGGTGTCAGTGGTTTCAGCTTCTTTTGCCTTCACCTTCTTGGGGGTTTCTGCCTCGGATCCCTTCTTCTTATCTGCAGCACCACTCACCTCCATAGCTACGGTGAGCAGCAAAAACACAAACACTGCTGCTTTCCTCATTGTTCTCTCTACGTTTATATCTGCAATGCACGGAATCCAACACAAAGAAAGCAACAGGAGAGCGGCGGAGGAAATCTTCCCTTCTCTTCCCGTTGAATGTTCCTGCAAAACTCCCTTCAGGCTGCTCTGACTGAGTTGTTGAAATTCCTCTGTGACTTAGCAGTGTTTGTGTGTGCTCAAAGTCCTCCCCAGAACAGGAGCGACAATCTCAGTCCTCAATACCTTGCAGCTGAAGGTCGTTGACAGTGGATTAGTGAGTCACACAGGTATAAAAGAAAATGCACAGTCACAGCCTTTGTTGCATCCGGGGAACTGGGGAAAAGTTTAGTGCAGAGTCTACACAGTTGTTGCAGACAGTGTGTTTTGTTATGTAGTCATGAGAGCTTTCTGCCTATGCATTTGAGTGCTTGTAAATTTGTTTGGGAGTTTACACAACTGCCCTGAATTATTATGTTGTTGCAGAAGGGTCCTGTGTCAAAAACAAGCCTTAAAACTGACATTGTTTTAGTTTATTTAGGCAGTAGTGCCTCTAAAATGGGGGACACAAGGTGCAACAGTCTCCCCACATCTACTAGATGAAGTTAATTTACTGAAACTCTAACGTCCAAGTTTCAGCGAATGCAACTATGGTGTCCCAGTGCAAGTGCCAGCAATATTAGACGACTGCAACAGCTACACCTACGGCAGTATCCGGTCGGCCCGTCCATAAAAAGGAGGGCAAAAGACACAGTGTTTGTGCCTTTAGTTGACAGACACACAAACCTCTCCAGAACCACACAATGCTCATCACATTTGTTGAGTTTTGCTCTACACTTTCACAGTAATGTCTATAAAAGTAAAACTTCACTGCAATAAACACAGAATCAGATCAGATAACAAGGAATGTAATCAGCGTTTGGACAACATGTTAGATTATATTCACGTACGGAGAGGTGTAAACAACACTCGGTGAGTAATCTGAGAGGGTGACTTTGGACCCTCTGGTACTTTTAATATGGAAAGCCTCCATTGTTCTTCAAGCTCTTTTTTCAGGTTCCTGCTGCCCAAATTGTGTCAGTTTATGTCTGCAATGAATGTAATGATGATTCTCTGACACGGTGAGCAGTCTTTTATGTTGCTGTCTCTAAAGCAATAAAATCACCTTCAGAAAAAAGAGAATCTGGTTTGTTTTCACTTTTTTTCTTCGTTATAAATTGGTAGTTTTTCCTGATGTTGAAATAATGCTACGACAGCGTGAGAGGAAAGCAACTCTGAGTGCTTAATCTGTCATACTTTTCAACTGAAGGACTGTACAGATGGTGTCTTTTTTCATTTTTACAGCCTTGTAGGTAGACAAATAAAACAATGCACCAGAACTGATTATGTTTTTGGATTCCACAGGAAAAGTTAGCCCAGGTTTAAAGCTCCGTATGCCATACTGTAGGAGTTATTAGTGCCAGAAGATGGTCTGAGAGGCTAAAACACATAAAATGAACTACAAAACTAAAAGGCTGTAACTTTAAAACTATTACCGATGGACTCCTAATATTTGGGATTTCTCCATAATTTTGGTATAGGAGCACCTGAGATGTATTTTTCAGAGGAATCTAAGGGGGTGGCATCAGACCCTCTGGTAGATTTGATATGGAATGACCCCCATAGTTCTTAAAGGGCTTTTTCAACCCAAATTGTACTTTCTGACAAGTTTTATTCAACTCAAAATACTATTTTCTGTCCACATCTTAATAGTTCTAAAAGTTTATTCCACCCAAACTGTATTTTCTAACCAATATGTGACAGTTTGACAGGTATATTCCCTCCAAAATACTACTTTCTGTCCACTTTCTTATTCTTTTAAAGATTTATTCCACCCAAATTGTACCTTCTAACTAACAAGGTGCAGCTTTAAAGGTTCATTCCATTGAATATATATTACTTTTGTTCACTTCCTTACTGTTTTAAGGCTTATTCCACCTAAAATACTCCTTTTATTATCCGCTTGTGTATAGTTTTAAAGGGTTTTTCCACCCAAATTGTATTTTCTAACCAACATGTGATAGTTTTAAAGGTTTATTCGACACAAATTGTACTTTCCTACTAAAATGTTATGTTTATTCCACCCAAAATACTACTTTCTGTCCACTTTCTTATTCTTTTACAGATTTATTCCACCTGAATTGTACCTTCTAACTAACAAGGTGCGGCTTTAAAGGTTCACTCCATTGAATATATATTGCTTTTGTTCACTTCATTACTGTTTTAAGGCTTATTCCACCTAAAATACTCATTTTTTACCCACTTGTGTATCGTTTAAAAGGGTTATTCCACCTAATTTGTACTTTCTTACTAACAAGTTGTGGGTTTAAAGGTTTATTCTACTAAACATTGCCCATAGTTATATATATATATTTTTGCCAGTGTATGGTGACTAGAAAAGCCGGCTCCTCTTTAAAGTAAAGACATGTCTTACAGCTGGGGTCCTGAAAACGCAGCTCCATCCTGCAGGCGGCGCTAACTCGCTGCTGTTTCAGAGCAGAGCAGCAGAGGAGGAGGAGGATGAAGGAGAAGAAGCCGGAACTTCACCGACCTGCGGGGCGTCTGGACATCCGGGAAGCTGCTGCTCCCCCCGCGCGCTGATTCAACTTAGTTTGTTTGTCCTCGAGCTCAACACAACAAACAGCCCGCGAGCTCAGCGAGGCTCGAGCCTGTTAACAAGTAAGTTTTGTTTTTTGTTTTTTTTTTTTGCTTTAGCTTCAGAGTGTAAATAAAAACAAGCCAGCAACATGTCAAACTGCGCAAAATGTGAAGAATCAGAGACGAAGTAAGTTTTAAAGTCAGCTTAGCTTCACTGCAGAGTCACAATCTACTTACTTTGTTTTGGCTAGCTTAGCATCGATGCTAAAGCTAGCTGAACAACATTAGACGTTCAATGAGTCTGAATACTTTAGAGACAAAAACTGTTGTGCCAAAAAAAAGTGACCATTTAGTTCTTGTTAAACAGTCACCTGGTTTCTCTTCGTACACAGCTGCTTCTGTCTGGATCAATTAGTCATAATATGCAAACCGTATGTTTGTGATCCGGCTACTGTGTGTGTGTGTTTGTGAAAGTGAATACCTGAAAAGATGTTGTACTAATGGTGTGCCTAATATCATGTTTATACTGTCAGTAGTATCATTTACAGATGAATTTTATATGTGTAATATAGAAAGTAGATCTTTTCTAGCTATCCTGTAAACTATAATATTAGAAAATAAAAGTAAAAATCCTGAAGCCATTTTGATGCCTTGATACCTTTTCAGTCACAATGTAGGGGCTGCTATCCTTTTTTTGGGCATTATATTAGTTTTACTGCTCTTTTAAAGCTATTTCAACTCGTAAAAAGGACTGGATTAGTTATAATCTAGGTCAGAGAGCAAGTAAAATAATGCAGAGACATGAGGATGATTGCTCAGTTTTTGGCAAAACATCACCACAAGGGTATCGTGGGCTCAGCGCTTGCTTTTTGTGTATTGTTGTGGCTTGTGGTCATTGCAAGATCAGTTTGGTAATAGCGGGCACTAAAACACAATATCAGCTTCTCACCTGTAGCAAATTAATCTGCATAATCAATTAGTTGATCTGAGTATTTTTTTAGATCAAGAAATTGTCAAGTTATTGAATTTCCTGCTTCCTAAATTTGCATTTTTTCCTGTTTCTTTACTCCTCTATGACAGTAAAGTGAATTTCTCTTCAGGACATCATGTTGGAAAACACAGATTGATATTTTTCACATTTTCTTTTTGTAGACTAAGTGGTTTGTCAGCTTATTCGGGCACAAATCGACAGAAAGGTTGCATGTTGTTGAACAAGTATTTAGCCCTTCTGTTGTGACATTAAACAGAAACCTGCAGAAGAACACATTTGTGATACGGTGCTGTATTTGTTTGTGATTTGTTATCTTCAAACTGCATGTGTGTGATTGACAGCAGGTATGATGCAGATGGATTGGATTCCGTCGGTCACTCGTTATCCATAAGAGTCAAGTATTATTGGTAAGATGATGAGAAAAGCTTTCAGTCTGTGACCTCATTTGAACTGTGAAGCTGTGCACTTTCATAGTCGTGTCACTGTACCACACGTTACAGGTGCTTTAACACAAGTCGTCATGGCTGCTCTCTGCCACAGGTCATTTGAGTATCGTCTGAGGTGGAAAACATCCATGTGTCCCCAACACTCCACCAGACTGCCAAAGGCCTCCAAGAACAGACCTCAGAAAAGCCCCGTGTCAGATGAAGACGTTATTCAGCGTCGGCTGAAAAGTCAGAGACGGAGGACGTGGCAGAGGAAGACTGAAGCTGATGACAGCGTGGTTGATACAGATGAGAGGAGGCAGCGTGACCTCATCGACATCATTGACTGCACTCATGATGACGAGAATGTCACCATGGAGCAGACTGTAGAGATAAACGATACAGGATTGACTGAGTCGGATGAGGACTGCATCTCTGTTTGCAGCAGCATAGCTTCTGGTCCTTCCCTCCTACATCACGCCACCCCCAAGAAGCCGAAGCCTTCGCAGGGCCTGTGCTCAGCCTGTAGGAAGATCTATCAGAAGGCCAAGAGAACAAAAGCACCAATCAAAAACAAACTCCTTGACATTGGTGAGTGCTCTCATTTGTTGCATATGCAACAATAAGTGAAAATGTCATGTCTGTGTTAAGAAATCGGGTCACTGCTGCAGCACATTCTGGTCCAAAGAAAAGCAGAGAATTACTGCAGTGGCAGGTCACAAACATGTACGTAACACTGATATAGGCTTAAGTTTTTAGATCCCTATGGAAACTTACAAGTTGAAATATACAGTCACCGCTGTGATCGCTGTGGACTATATAAAAGATTTTCTGCTGCAACAAACAACAGAAAGCGATATTCACTGCAACATCCAACAACAGCTGTATTTCTGATTTGTTTTCCAGATCCCGAGTCCCTGACATGTGACCAGTGGGTTCTGATCAAAAGGTGGACACCCAGAAGGCTGACCAACGTGAGAGGGTGAGACCACCTGTCATCTGAATGTAGCTTGATTTCATTTTATTAGAAGAATATTCTTCTAAACTTTGTCTCGCATCCCAAGACATACACTGTTTCACATGAATGATAAAACACAACAAGCAGAAACAGAACAACAAATACATACGATATGATGCAACATTATGAAGACGTAGCTGCAGTGCATCAATTTAATCACTGCCTGCAGTCCTTTTCAATCAGTACAGTAACACTGAGGTCTGCTTAGAACCCAAATACTGATTCAATAGTATGACAGGCTGAGAAACAATAGATTAGATCTTTTTAGTCGAGCCTGTGGGACTGTTAATTTTCCTTTTAATGTCTTTTACCATTAAATAAGAGCCACTGTACCATTCGCTAATTCCATTCCATGCAGCACAACCCGTCAGAAAAACAATAACAGGATCTGTTTGTTTGCTCCAAATGTCTCCTACGAACATAAATGTGATGTATTTGTACCGTTCCACAAAAACAGTCGATGTGTACCCTCCAGCATCCACATAAGTGCACAAATATTTACAGGAAACCTTTGTTTAAGACCAAAAATTTTTGTTTTAGTTTTTTTTGATGATAGGTAGATTCTTGTCACACTCCAGGATTGTGTTGAAAACTTCAGTGTAAATGTGTTTAGACTGTTTCACAATTGTCTATGCCAACTGTGAGGAGTAGAGGTGAGTTCAGTAGACGCTGCAGAGCTGCTGAATTAGTAAGAATGGAAGCTGGAAATGTCAGATTACCTTTAACTAATTTTTAATAAGGATGACGGCGTATTATCTGACTGAACAATCCCACAGATTGACTACGTTCAGACTGCAGGACTTAATGCTCAACTCAGATTTTTTGGGAAATCCGATTTTTTTTGAGAGTTCCTTCACATTTCCAATTAAATGCGACTTGTATGTGATCTGCTGTGTGAACTTCATACGAACCAAAAGTGTTCCGCATGTGCAGAAGAGGACACGACGACGTCACACGCAGCGAGTCAGAGCGCTCCCCGGAGTGTTATTATAACAACTATGAACAATAAATATTAACAACAAATGAGCCTTCCAGCATCAAGCCCTCCTTGTATCTCGACCTCCATCTTGACAATCCGACAGCCTTGCCATCCGACATAAAAGAAGGTTTTACATTTAGTGTCGGATTATCGAGTCACGACTGTATTCACATGTTAGCTGATTATAACTGCTGCTCTCTTATTTTTTCTTAGAGATTTTTTAAGCCATGCACAGCTGGATAAGGAGGTTGGTGTGAGAGAGGGAACATCTTCAGCCTGCTCGAGGCCGCACACTTTCCTTCAGAGGTAATGCATTTGTCCATTTGTTTGCACATTTCAGATTCCTGTGTTTCTGTGAAATCACTTGCATGTGGTAAGTTTTTTTTTATATCAGGAACCTCAGACTGTGTGTCAGAGTGACAAAGAAAAACCAGAAGAAGAGAACTGGGAGGAAGAGAAGAAGAAATGGCAGCCAGGGTTCCCGCGCTGCTAAGCAGCAGCGTCTCCACAGCAACCATCACCGCCGGCACACCGGTCTGACCAGCCTGGATGAAGACCTTCGTTCTGAGGGTCGTAGGCATCAAGAAACCAACAATCAGTCAAACACTGACATGCCTGTGGACTTGACTCCCTGCTCAGTGATCCTGGAAAACATCAGGCCAACAGAGAAGAGGCCAAAGCAGAAAAAAACAAACGCAGCAGGTAGATTCAGAGACCTGCTCGCTCAGCTGCACAGCAACAGCAGCATGATCGTCAGAGAGACACGATAGCAAACGACACATTATTCTAGGATGGATGTAGCTTTAGGTTGTGATGTTACCTTGTTTAGCCTGGTTGTTATTCTGTAGGCGCCTTATACCTGGAGTTTATTGACCACTACTGTTGCACTTTAATGTACTGGCATGTTGTTTAGTTGTTCTTACATTTTGAAATATGACTTATTTAAAGTTTTATGCAACAGGATGCCTGTAAATAAATGTGTTTGTTATTATTTACATTGATTTTAGTGCATGCCTTTTTAGAGCCATTTGCTCTAGCAAATGAGCATCTGTGTCAGCAGCAGCACACCTGTACAATGATCAGAGAACATCTCTGTGTGTCTCAGCATCACACACAAACACTGCAGGTTATGAGAGTAAAGTACTCATCATACTAAAAACCAACACTACACACACACAGAAATGGAGATTATACTCTCAGTTGCGAAACATGAAGCTGGCCAGTATTCATTTTAAAAAGCACTTCCTATTTAGCAGCCAGTGATCCGTCACAACATTTAAACAACCTTCCTATACTGTGTGGGTCCCGCTCATGCTGACAAAACAGCTCTGACCCGTTGAGACATGGACATGGGACTTCTGAGGGTGTCCTTCGTTGTTTGGGATGTTGGCAGCAGATCTTTCTGGTCTATTTGGTTGCGGGGTGGGGCCTCTGTGGATTGGGATTGTTTAGAGCATCCACGGAGGCTTGATCAGATTGGGACACAGCCTCGTGTTCTTGTGATGTGGTGGGGCACAAAATGATAAAGTCAAACTTGCATCAGAAGTTTACTGCTCACTACAGAGTGGAGTGGTCATTGTGTCGGGAATACTGAGTGTGACATGGATTTCTAACGACTTTAATGTTTCAGTGTGCTGTTGGTGGACACCATGTTTAACGAAGGAAAGAAGAAGAAACTGGAAGAAATCAAAACTAGCTCCAGAAATAAAATAAAGTTTTGATAAAACTTACAACAAATATGCCGCCATCTTTTCTTTTACAAGTTTGAGTGCCTCTTCTTGTGTTGGTGTAATGCCTTGTTCACATGTCTACAGGTATTTATTTTAAAATGCTGCACTTTACAGTCATCCTCAAGTGTATTAACACCCTTCTATTAAAGAAAAAGCAAAATTCACAAAAGTCACTCAAATAACTAGAAACTGAAAAAAATGCTAATAAATACAAATTTGCTAAATTATAATTTAGTGAAATAAGACGTTGTTTTTGAATTGTGGTTGAAAAGAATATTTAAAAAAATAAATAAAAAAAAAAACTGTCCCAGACAACTTAGAGCACTTTGCTGATGAGCAGTGGGCCAAAATCAAAACCATATCTGTTGAACCACCATTCAAAACCCATGTTATGATTTTCATTAATTTCTTTCACTTATTATTACTTTTGTCAATTTCCACTTATTTCAGTTTATTTCCTTCTTTAATGGGAGGGTATGAATACATTTCATGGTGCTTTTGGAAAACTCCTTTCAAGGTGTGACTGGAAATTGGGTCACAGAACATCTTTGTTTACTTTG